TGTAGTTAACAACGGTATAGGGTTCGTTCAAATTTGGAAGTACCTCCAATTTGTGGTATGCTTATAACCAACAAATGAAGAGGCTTACAATTTCCTGCCAAATCTTCTCCGAAAAGACATTTTATGTCAGAAACACATTTTATTTCAAATGGTATTTCTTAATCGTTTACAAAGCGAAGCTAATTTCAATAAATAATTAAAAATGTTGTCCAAATTTCTTCCATTTTGATTTAGCAGAACTCACCCCACCTTATGTTGCTGCACAACCTATAATATAATATACACAGCACTTTAGATTGTTTCACCTGTCCACTTTAAAAATATTTTCTAAGGTCCAAGAACCGTCTCCCCAGAGAAATAATTAATTATGCAAGCCTTCTCAACACTTTTAAATTATTCTCATATGCACAATTACCTTTAGAAAATTTCAAAAAAAAAACTCCATACAAATATTGCCATTTTGGCAAAACTATGATGAGAGATTAAAAAGATTACACAGTAAGCATTAGAATTCGTCAAGGGTGCATCGTAACGATAAATTTCACGTTAATCGGAAAAAAAATCAATCGTTTCGTTTGAAGCATTTGAAAATATTAACGTTAAAACAGTTCTCCAAAGAAATTTTTTTCGTTTTTACCCGAAACGAAAAGCTGTCGTTACTGTTAAATCGTTAACAGATAATGTTAAACGTTATAATTGAAGTTGCTGTTAATGTTATAGCAGGCAGCTAATTTAAAATTAACCTTAACGATGAGTTCTGCGGTTCCAGCGTTAATTATGTCGTTTCGTTTTGATAACATGGCGCCGGTGCGAATGGAAAATGTGTATTTCAATTGTTGCGGGTTAATCTTATTATACTTCGGTATGTCAAATCTTCCTCAGCTGGGCCTTATATAGGGTGGTTTCGGAAGTACAGAGCTGTATTTTAACATGTGTCAAACTTAACTGTAAAACAAACATGCTGACGCTGATGAAGAGAAGAACAATGTGTCCAAGGACGTTTTCTCTAAGTGCCTAGGCCACTACTCCCCCAACGATTTGAAAATAGTCTTTGACATTTAATACGAGTATAATGCCAGGGTTCAAATAATAGTAAAAAATCATGTAAATTATTTGAAATGCATTTTATTTTTATTTAATTTCGAAATCATAAAATGAATAACACTGTATCAGAGAAGATGAAATATTTGGTTAGACTAATCTAAAGATTTCTATTGATTCTGTTGAATGAAACATTTCAAAATGTTATCGTTAAAACAGTTATCCAAAAAATATTTGTTTTTGTTTTTACCGGTAACGAAATGCTGCCCATAATGTTAAACTTTATATTTGAAGTTGCTGTTAATATCATAGCAAGAAGAGAGTTTAAAATTTCTTCAGTTGAGCATCTATAATTTTTTGAGTTTTTGATTAACTGTCATATGGTCATGTTCTAAATGGTGACGATTCTGGCGACTGTGAAGTCGGAGTTGCAAAGCTATTATAGCGGCGGATGGATGTGCTGTCGGACTGATCGTGGATCGTGTGCCAAGCAGCGAAAACTGCTACGGTTACACCGTGTTTTTCACCTAAACTGAAAAATATTTCAAATACCGCATAGCTACGAACCATCGAAATGGTTTGCCTTACAATACCGAAGGTCGCCAAGTTTTTCGATGACTTACATCTCAAGCGTGCAGTAGCTTTGCAAGCATCGCTTAGTTTTTTTTTAAATATTTTCAGCATTGTCTTATTCGATCAAGATTGTTTTATTTTCACTTCGATATCACATCTGCCAATCAAAGTCTAAATATTTCTTTTTGTTTCACTGCTGTAAAAGTGGTTTTTGTTATCATCGATCCCGATTCCTTCTCATGGGCATGATTTAACAAGATTTTTTATTCTTATTAAGTAAAGAATGTTAATATACAAATTTATACACATTTAAAATATGTATGTCATGTCTTTCCTGTACTTATACCATCTTAATCCTTCTGATAACGTTTAAGGTTAAAGAAGTCTCAATACTTTCTCACCTCATTATCTCGTCATTTAAATAGTTGTGAACGCTGAAAATGATAAAACTCTGCCATGGAAACGTACCTGTAAATAAAGCATAAAATATATATTTATTAATTTTGTTTACCATAAAAAATCATAAAATTTTTTTCATGTGTTTCGATGCAGATGACGCTTTGCCCTTTTAAATGTTTAGCAATAGCAAAATAGTTGTATGCTTCATGCAACTCGTTTTAATCCAGTTTCGAAATATTTTTTTTTTTTAATTTTTTCAATTTCGATTATTGAAATTTCGAATAAAGTTAAAACTTTAACAAAGTTCGAAGACATAATTTTATATGAGTTAATTCTCCAGAAGAAGCTATTTGAAAATGAAATCCGGATCAAAGCGAAGTTTAGCAACAATAATAACTGATTTGTGTTCATGCAATGACAGAAGAGAAGGCCAATGTGTCCAAAGATGCGTTTCATAAGCGCTGCCACCGAGACGATGTCGAAATTTTTGGTATCGAAACATCCCCAAATGGATTGAGGCTGATCGACATCGTCGTGGCCCGAAGTATGGTTGTCTAAAGTATCAGATTCCAGCAGAAGAAAATTTATCTAACAAAATGGCTTGGCGGCCGAGATAGCCAAGTGGTTAGCACTACCATTGCGGCCCTCCCTAGGCTAGAACCATCAGCCGTTCGGAGGTGGCTTAGTATATACTGCATTTATTGGAAAAAACATCAAAACGCACACCAGTTTTAATAAAATATGTGCCTGTCTTCGGCAGGCAGGTCCGATATACATTCTCGTAGATAAGTGTATGCTACATCAACTGAACTTCGACTCGAACCACTATCTTGTAGCAGCAGAGATACGAAGGGCTTTAGAAGCTGGTCAGCAGTAGAAATGCTCGAAAATTATTTGAAAATTTGGGTGGCTTACGAGGTTTAAATTCCATTCAAAGTAGCATCAAAGTCCACAGTACAGTGAGTTTATGGAGGAAACACTTGTTCAGCCTGCTGAAGACAGTGAAAGTAAAACACTAGGAGATGGCGAATCAAATCGAATTACCCAAACCATCAAAACAGTTGTTCCTTTCCACAATTATGAGGGAGACCGAATATCAGTTGTACATCTGCAATTGGCACAATGATCGGTTTTCCGCAAAACATATACGGCTGTATAAACTGACTTTGAGCAACACCAGAAGTTCTGTAAGATCCGAAAAGGACTTCTTAGAGGCGTTCGATATTAATCGAGGTGCTGCGTGACATTTAATTATATGATCTGCACAGTTGCCACTGATATTGGCTTATCTGCCGCAAATAGCGGCTAAATTAACGCACTTAATATATGTTGATTAATAATGAATTGAACGCAATAATACAACAACAGATTATATGGCTGATGTTGGCGTAGTGGTAGAACACTCGCCTGTTAAGTCAGGATCCGTTGATTCGATCCCTGCCATGTGGTGATCTTCGAAACAGCTGTCACTTCTACCATTTTTCTTTGTTGTATAACAAATATTCAATTCAAAAAAAACAAATTAAAAATATCTCAAGTCATCAAACCTGAACCGGTCCGAGTAATCGAAAAATTAAGTCCTATCTCGACGAACAAAAATCAAACTACATTCCCGCCCTGCTATGTGGGGCAGTTTTTTAGGAAGTTTTATAGTTCTCTGTGATGGTCGTCGACGATTACCGACATTCACCGAACTAATTAAGAGACAGTAGCTACGATGGCTAGGTCATATTGTCCGGATGGATGAGAGCATTTCAGCTTTAAAAGTATTCGATGCAATACCTGGAGATAGTAGCACAGTAAGAGGCATACCTGCTCTCCACTGGAAAAATCGGATAAAAAGGAACCTGACTTCCCTTAATGTATCCACTTGGCGGCAAAGAAAATAAACGATAATCTCAAGTTGAAGCATTAATATTCTGGGTAAGGATTTTTACCATCTGTGAGTTAAATAAAAACAAGTTTATGTACAGACAGGCAATTACCGTGCAGTAAATCAAATATCATGCACGTAGCCTAAAGACTTGATGACTGCGATAGTTAGAAAAAAAAAACACAATTCAACGGCCATTGCCAACAAATATCATACAAACATACAATTATTTATATGTATTTTTAATTGAATTGCTCATTCATGCAGAGGCAATGTAAGAGCAGCTTACGTTTAATTTCAAGATCACTTCATGGACAACAGTGACCGGAAAAAAACGTAACTAACGAGCCGTCTCTGCTATTTGCCATGCGCGCGACAAGAGACTCCGGCGTCGCAAGTGCAGCAATGCAGAAGCCAGATCTGGCATGAGAAAAGCGGAGAACCAGTTTGGAAGGCACGACCCATTGCAGACGCAACCAAAAGTTGGACAGGTGGACAACACTAACCAAAACGCACTGTAATGCTGCGCCAAGAAGCCGATTGATAATTATCATAGATGTAAATTATCAAAAATTTAATGAGCAATATTTTGGAATTTTTAATTACTTGCACACTTACATATTTAAGTGTGAACGTGTGCGCAAACGCTAAAGTAAATATTTAAAATCGTAAAGAAGAACTCGTTTGCTTAAGGGCATACAAACACACGCATAGCAGTGACACTAAGATCTTGCCAGAAGCACAAACAGTCAACTGACCGACCGCACGAAAAGGCGAACTCGACTGCGGGTTTATTACCAAAAGTGCGTTCGAAGAGTGCGGGACCGCGCCTGAGTTCGTTCGAGTTCGTTGCCAACTTTTTATTAAGAATTTCGCGCGTAGGGCGATGAACCGCAGAGAAAACGCATTGAATGAGTAGAAAGATGGAAAAGAGGTGAGATGGGCAAATGAGTGAACAGAGCTTGAAATTACAAGTAGAAAGAGTCTCACGGGAATTCAGCACTAGCATTCTCCGCTTAGATAGCAAGACGATTGGATGTCTGTGAACTCGAGTACAGGAAGTAATTAACAGAAGAAAATAAAACGAATTAGAAAAAAAAAACAACGTCGATATTAGAAGCCATTTCATAGCACAAATAACAAAAAAAAAATAGCAACCAAGAAGGCCGAGTCTGTGAACTCTTTTCGTAAACTGACACTTGCAAAATGAACGAAATCTTTCTTTGGCTCCTGAGGTTTCTAATTTTAGCCGCGCTGCTGATGCCGCCTGCCCAGACTCAATCTCCGCAGCAAATACAACAAGTACTTGGCATTGGTTTGGAGAATCTCATATTGTCTTCGCTCTATAATGATGGTAAGACCTTGCACATGGAGCCAACAAAAATTTAAAAATATTTACTTACTCTTTCCTCCCCCCCTGCAACATAGCGCCGCACCAAAATGCCTCTTACGACTTCATCATAGTTGGCGCAGGTCCAGCTGGTTGTGTACTTGCCAATCGCTTGTCGGAGAACCCCAACTGGTCTGTGTATCTTATCGAAGCCGGCGGCGTTGAGGGTATTTTCCATCAAATGCCTGTACTCGCCGCCTTCCTGCAAGGCACACACTCCAATTGGGGTTACAGGTCAACGCCACAGAAACGTGCTTGCTACGGCATGAATAATAACGAGTGTTTCCTACCGCGTGGTAGGGTGTTGGGCGGTACGAGCTCCATCAATTATATGATCTACAACCGTGGCAATAAACGTGATTTTGATCGTTGGGCGGCGGCGGGTAATAAAGGCTGGTCGTATGAAGAAGTGTTGCCCTATTTCCTCAAATCGGAGTCGGCCAACTTGGCTGGCTTGGAGAACTCACCTTATCACAATCACACCGGTCCGTTGAGCGTAGAGGATGTACAGTATCGTACGCCGGCAGCGCATGCATATGTACGTGGCGCGCAGCAGGCGGGACACGCGCGCACTGATTACAATGGCGAGTCGCAAATGGGCGTTTCCTATGTGCAAGCGAACACTTTGCGTGGCCGGCGTCATAGCGCATATCGCGCTTACATCGAACCAATACGCTATGAACGCAAGAATTTGCATATCGTTACTATGGCGCGTGTAACCCGTGTGCTGATTGATCCCGTCACAAAGCGTGCATCTGGCGTGGAGCTCATGTACCGCAACAAATACTACAAGGTGCGGGCACGTAAGGAGGTCATTCTCTCAGCAGGCGCCTTCAATTCACCACAATTACTAATGCTATCTGGTGTTGGGCCAGCGGACAATCTCAACGCAATTGGTGTGCCCATTGTAAAAGAGCTGCCGGTGGGCAAACTGCTCTACGATCATATGTGCCACTTCGGTCCAACATTCACTGTTAACACAACTCGCCAGCTGCTTAACATTGCCTACATAAATGCCACAATAGTAAAATCATATTTGCTCGGCAATCCAAGCACTATGCTCTCATCTATTGGTGGCGTGGAGGCGTTAACATTTCTGAAGGTACCGAGCTCGAGCGAGCCCTCGGATATGCCGGATATGGAGATTATCACAGTTGCGGGCAGTTTGGCGGCCGATCAGGGCACAGGACTCAAGCAAGGCGCCAACTTTAAGGACGAACTCTATGATAAAGTTTACCGACCATTAGAAATTTCTATGCAAGATCATTTCAGTTTCCTCATCATGCAATTTCATCCAAAATCTGTCGGTCGACTTTGGTTGCACAATCGTGATCCCTTCGAACGGCCACGCATAAATCCTAAATATTTTTACAATCCCAACGATGTGCAGTTCATGCTGGAAGGTATTAAGGAGGCCATACGCATTACACAAACACCGGCCATGCAGGAGTTGGGAACACGCATACTCGATACCCCTTTACCCGGCTGCGAGCAATACACCTTCGGCACAGACGACTACTGGCGTTGTTCCATACGCACTATGTCATACACACTCCACCACCAGGTGGCCACTTGTCGCATGGGCCCGGAAAGCGATCCCACCACTGTGGTTAATGCCGAGCTAAAGGTGCACGGCATACAGCATTTGCGTGTAGTAGACACCAGCATAATACCATTTCCACCTACGGCGCACACCAACGCAGCATCGTTTATGATCGGAGAGAAAGCAGCCGATATGATACGCGGCGATTGGCAATGAGTGGGGCGAAGAGTGGGAAAAGAGTGAAAGTGTGGTGTGGTTTCTGGTTAATTAATATATTTTACGGTTAATTTGCATAAGTTTTTATTTTTTAAATTTAGGTTAAGTGCTCAATCCAGCAGGGGCTAAGGAGCGCAGAACAAAGTAAAACAGGTTTGAAGTAAATTAGATGAATGTATGAATAAGTAAAATGTGAAAAAGTCAATAAAATTTTTATGTACTAAAATTGGTATTTAAATTTGAAAACTGGTAGTTTAAGAAAAATAAAAATGAAAAGAGAAATAAAGAAGAACAAAAGCACACAAATTCAAATAGAATAAGAAAACGAAGGTTCAAGTGAAGTGGATAAAAAGGCTTTGAGCAAGATCACTGTGGATCGTTGCGTAGGCAAAAGTAAAATATACATGCCTGCATACGTATGTGTGCGTGCAGCTTCTTAAGACAAAATTCACTTTTATGTGCCAATTAATTGTCTGCTTATCAGTTTGGAATTGAGAAGAATTTAAGGTCAATTAAGCTCAATTTATGCATGAAATTGTTGTGAGTGACGTCAGAAATGGTGAGGAAGAGCGCGTATAAGGCGACTAGAGTTTTTAGAACAAAAATATATATTTTATGTAAATAAGTGTAAAGAAATAAATATTCATGGAATACCAAAAGAGGCTGAAGATAACACTTGGATTACCATATTTTTATCTTAAGCTGTTTTTAATTTATGGTTAACCTACAATTATATGATGAATGTAATAAATATACATTCATATATGTATTGCCGGAGGTGACCAAATGAAATGAAACCGACAGGTTTTAGACATTTTTCTCTGTTTAATTTACTTATTAAATATTTTAAAACTTCCACGGCTTTTATCACTAAATAACACTAATCCGTGTTTGAAAGCTGACATTTCGAGCAATATTTTCCGTGAAGACAATTCTGTGAATCGTTATTCTGGTGGAAAAGTAAGAGCGCTAAGAAATCGTTTGGTAATTGAACGCCGGACCCAAAAGTGATTGTGATGACAAAGATGCAATCTGTTCTGGGCGACCAGGCACTCATAAAACCGATCAAATTATGCAACTGGTGGAATTAGACCGCTACCAGTTAATAGATAGAAGAGGCGCTGGGCAATTTCAAATCATATAAAAAGGACTAGCAACTCAAAGAAGTTCGATGCCTTGGTATCGCATGAATTCAATAAATATATAATATATAATTGACGCCTTGTAGCCGCTGAAGCGGTTTTCGGCCGACAACCTCCTCCAAATTATGGTATGTGTCTTGATGTTTTTTCAACAAATGGAGGGTCCTATAGTTTACGCTAAGCCGCCTCCGATCGGCTGATGATTTTTTATGATGAACTTTTTACACTTCGAGGGGCTGACATTGCCTGCCGAGGGGCGGCGCAATTAAAAAATTTAACTTAATTTTTTATCTGGAATAATTTTCTAGATATAATTTTTGGATGTTGATCGAACCAGAACTCGAACCCAGGCCTTTAATTTAATATTAATTAATTAACACCTAAAAAAAATTAACTACTGATTTTCCATTTGAGAAACGTTTCTGAAAAGCATTTATTATGGACGATGCGAATTACGAGAACCTAAAATGAACAAAATAAATGGTCAAAAGGTGTTGGCCCATCACAAACGACTTTAGATACTGACTGCAAAGGCGATGCTGAAGGCATGATGGGGTTGTAAGAGTATTCTCCACTATGAGACTTTACAATCTGCCAAAAATCATCTTACAACAAGCTCTTCAAAAAAGCGTCCAGAATTAATATTTTGAATATGTTCTGTGTCTCATCATGAAAGCCCCGCATATGTACATCTTTGATGACCAAAAATTGATGTTGGTTTGGAAGTTTTAATGCACCCACCATATAGCCAGGACTTTGAAAGGATAGGACATCCCTGCTGAAGCTATTGAAGCAGCTGTAAGAACGATGAGACGAAGGTTAGAACTTCTTATTTACATCTGCAGGTAGAGTAAGTAAGACGTTGTTCCTCCGTAATTGAGGACCGGACTATAAAAACTATATGAAACTTAAATTAAATTTGATTTATAATGAAAAACTCGCATTCAAGACTAATTTTAACATTTTTAAATTCATCTTATATAACTATTACATGTGTTATTATATGTTGTGTATACCCGAAAAGTGCAACACGTTCGAAAATAGCTGGGTGTGTACTACGAGCACTTACCTCACTGGCTTCCGTAAAAATGAAAGCCGAAGTAGAACACTGAGGATTTGACGACGGATTCTTTTCCAGCATGACTACTGTAGTAAATTTACTGAAAAGAACTTTAAGGCACCAGTAGAATTGGAGAGACTATTACGATAGAAAATCTTTACTTCTGTAGATGAAAAGAAAAATGTTTTGAAAATCACCTCAACGAAGAATTTCAACCAAAATTTAATCATTTCTGGATTTCACCTAAATACTTTCCAAGATACTAAAATCTCATCTGAGTTGGAGAACATAAAGAGAACGTTGTTTTTAAAAAATACCCGTGGTTATAACCACATAGCACCACAAGTGCTAAAAGAGATACCAAACCTTTACACTAGGATATTTTCCGAAAGTGTAGAGAATCATTATAGCCAAATCCCATCAACTCGCTTGTGGTCTATTCTTTCCAAACTTTACACCAAATCACAGTAAATTAAAGTTCGGTAAGTTGACCAGAAAAAACATTATTTCCCTCTTTTCTAAATAATCGCCATCGATTTCAGTGCATTTCTTAGGCCTTTAGATCCACTTCTCATTAAATCCTTTCCTTTTAAAATTTTTTTTTTTTTAAGAAAGAACCAGAAATCACAAGGGTCTATATCCGGGGAATATGGGACTGGACATATTACTTTGATCCCAGAGATCGCAGTAAAATTATTTGTTATTTCAGCAGTGTGGAATGGCGAGTTGTCATGATGTAAAAAGCAGCGCCTCGAATCCTCTTTCTTCCTCTTTTCCAAAAAAAATTTTACAACTTTTCGTAAGCGTTCTTCGGTGTATTATTTGAACTGCTGTTTGGTTTCTGGATCGTTCTTGCAGAACCAAAATTCGTCACCAATAACGACTTTACTAAAGTTACTAGACTGATCATTTTCGAATATGTTTAGGAAAAATTAAGCAAAATGCACTCGACCCTCTTGTTGGGCCTCATTTAAAATTCGTTGTACCCATCGAGCAGATTTCTTTGTCTATCCCAAATGATTAATTAATATTCGCGATACAGCCATGACATTTAAGCCCAATTCATTAGCAATCATTTCTTGCGTCAGTGTTGGGACTTCGTGAACTTTGCACTTCACCAGAGCTACAGTGACGTCATCAGTGAAAGATTTTGATCAACCTTCTCAGGGCTCGTCCTCTACGGAAAACTGTTTCACGAAAGTAACAAGACATATATTTTCGGTTAAACTGTGCATTGTAGTTTGTTAACCGAGTATGTGTAAATTCAAAGTCGGGCTTGTAGTAGAAGAAGCCCTGCTACTGAAGGAGGTTACCCCGTTTGTTAATTGTTTTCCAGGATAGATATTTTTGGGACAACAGTGGGACTACAAGACTTAGTCCAAAAAAGAAGATCGACTTCGGCCTGAAAATAAAATGCTGCTACGTCATCCAGGCAATAAAATAGGAGATATCATATATACTTATGTCGTATAGTTCCTAGTGCTTCATGCCTGCAAATTCGACAAAAATTATTCCAAGAGTATCCTATTCTACTACCGTGAGGTCTCATTACACAGTGTCCAGTTAGTACAGCTGTTGTTGTATTGATAGGTGAACCGGTCTAGGTGGATTAGGTTCCTTGATCTTTCAACGTACAATACGCTAACTCAGCCTCTGCACACTTGCCTGAGATGTCACAACATTCGGGTAGCCAGACCACAGTTGTTTTGCATTTAGAGGAGAGCTTATTTAAAGCACTTCGGCATTTTAACCCTACTTTGGATATAGTATAATTGCATTAAAAATCTGATGGTAACCTCGCTGCCCGAGTATATGGTGATTGATTGGTATGTAATCAAAGATCTGAGCAACCATTATGGAGTTTCCGTGTTCGCAATAGGTGCCAGGTTACAACACAAACGCAGCTATCAGGATGCTTCCCCAGCGTTAAGATAAAGAAATAATACGTTGGACAGTCGTTCAGCTCTCTTTAGAGTGGTTTGCCATCGATCAGTCTCTGATTCATACTTAATTCATCGTCCGATCGTTAGCTAAACCTTCAACCAGTCATTTTCTGCGTGGGAACTAATCCATATCAAATATCATCTACTCGCCACTACTTCTACAAATACGTCAGTAGCTCAATCGCTCTAGACACTTCAGTGTTATCCCAACAGCAGCATAAAAGACAATATTTATGCCACTCAAATTTACTCAAAACGAGCTACTGAATATTTATAAAAACGAAAATAACAAGCGAAAAAATTATCAGAAATGATACAAATACGCACTTAATGAAGCATTTATTACTGTAAAATATAAAGTGTAAATGAAAATCAGTAAAAAGAAAGCAAAAGTGTGAACATAAATAAGCAAATATTTGTAAGCAAATCGTTTAAACAGGTTTTCTCACGTCAGGGTAAACAAAACATTTCCAACTGGCCGACTGACCGAGCGCGCTTAGTTTATCATCAACAACAAACATGTGCTGAAGCACGCGGGCAAGGTCTAGACTCTAGAGTTGTTACATATTTGTTTAAAGTAAACAAATGTCATTTTGCCGGTCTCAATGAAATGTGCTGCCTTGCTTAGCGCTCTCTCTCTCTCTCTCTCACTCTCTCACTCAGATAAATTATTCACGCATCCACCTGTTCGTGCTCTGGCTTGGCGTAAACTGTTCTGTAATGTGATCGAAACTGTTACAAAGTTAACAGCGCCACGCTATACACTGTAAACGATCTGTGTATGTTGCTTGACAGCAGCAACTGATTTAACAGAGACAAACATCAAAATCTATCAACAGTGTAACCTAATGAAAATGAATTTGCGCATGATCCCACTCGCGAGCTGAATTCCTTGTTGAACTTATAAATTAAGCCACTGAATGATGCTGACCCCATAAGTAAATTCACACCAGACGGAGCGTGTTTATAAAGTGAGCAATGAAAAATACGCGCGAGTTCGACTAATTTTGAATAAAAATTTGTTTTCAATAAAGTTGAAAATTAAACAATTTCATTAATAATAATTCAAATTAGAAAAAAGTCTTAAAAAAAATTCATTATTTTTCAATGGATATCACGTGTTTAGTGTTAATTTTTTTAACTTTTTGGCGAACTTCTTCAGCCGCGCATACGATTTTGGATAGCATTTTCGAATTGGGGCTCGCTAATACAATTGAGCACCTCAGTGCGCCAAGTGAGTGGAGTTTGTTGCGCTTTTATTCATATTCCAATAAAAATTTATTTCGTCTACTCAACAGCGCCGAAGCATAATGACGCCTTTGATTTTATCATAGTGGGTGGCGGTGCGGCTGGTTGTACGCTAGCCAATCGGCTGTCGGAGAATCCAAATTGGTCAGTCGCTTTGCTGGAAGCTGGCGGCGTCGAGAACATTGCACATCGTATACCCATAACGGCAGGTTTCTTGCAAGGTACGCACTCGAATTGGGGTTATAAATCAACGCCACAGAAGCTCGCGTGCTTTGGCATGAACAACAACGAGTGTGCTTTACCTCGTGGCAGGGTGTTGGGCGGCACAAGTTCTATCAATTATATGATCTACAACCGTGGTAATAGACGTGATTACGACGGCTGGGCTGCTGCGGGCAATAAAGGTTGGTCGTACGATGAAGTGCTGCCTTATTTCTTAAAATCGGAGAATGCTCAACTCGCCGGCTTAGAGTGGTCCCCTTATCACAATCACTCAGGACCTCTGAGTGTTGAGGACGTCGGCTATCGCACACAGTACGCGCATGCGTTTGTGCGTGGCGCACAACAGGCGGGTCACCCAGTGACCGATTACAATAGCGAGGCGCAACTGGGTGTGTCATATGTTCAGGCTACAACACAAAATGGACGTCGTCACAGTGCCTATCGCGCCTTCATCAGACCAGTGCAGCGTGCACGTCCAAATCTACGTGTTTTCACATTCGCACATGTGCTACGAATACTCATCGATTCCGAAACGAAGGTCGCTTACGGCGTTGAGTTTCTACATCAGAAGCGTCGTCGTTACACTTTCAAGGCACACAAAGAGGTTATACTCTCCGCGGGAGCTTTCAATTCACCACAACTACTAATGTTGTCAGGCATCGGTCCTGCGGATAATTTAAATGCAATTGGCGTGCCCATACTGCAAGAGCTACCTGTAGGCAAACGCATGTACGATCACATGTCCCACATCGGACCTGTATTCCTCACAAACACCACTGGTCAAACGACATATCCGACCAGCATAACATTGAGCGATATCAAGCGCTTCTTCTTATTCGGAGACAAAAATACTCGACTCTCGAGTATAGGCGGCGTAGAATGTTTGGCTTTCGTGAAAATACCCGGATCTCAAAGACCAGCCGATTGGCCGGACGTTGAGCTAATAACGGTGTTGGGTGGCATGGCGTCAGATGATGGCACGGGTCTTAAGGAAGGTGGTAATATACGTCAAGATCTATACAATGAACTATATCTGCCGCTACAACTGGCTCGTCAAGAACACTTCACCGTGCTAATCATGGATTTTCATCCGAAATCGTTTGGGCGCATATGGCTACACAATCGCGATCCACTACGTTGGCCCGTCATTGATCCGAAATATTTTTCCAACGAAGAGGATATCGAACACCTCCTCGAAGGCATCAAGGTAGCGCTGCGCATCGGCGAATCGCCAGCTATGCAACGCATTGGTGCGCGTTTATACGACAAACCTGTGCCAGGTTGTGAGCATTTAGCATTTGGTAGTGACGACTATTGGCGCTGCTCGATACGTACACTCTCCTACACGTTACACCATCAAGTGGCCACCTGTCGCATGGGCCCGGCAACAGATCCCACAACGGTGGTGGACCCACAATTAAAGGTACACGGCATACGTAAGCTGCGTGTGGTGGACACGAGCATCATCCCCTTTCCGCCCACAGCACACACGAATGCGCCAGCGTTTATGATCGGCGAAAAGGCGGCCGATTTGATACGCTGGGAATGGGAAGCTAATTTCGTGCGGTAAAAAATGGGGTGTTGAACTGCGTAAAATTCAATTTGACACTTGACAAATAACTGTTGATAACTTTGAACTCAATGTAAGATACATGAAAGATAACATGCCAAAATGCATTTAAAGAATTTAATTAATATTTAGTGACTAACGCTGAGGTGCTAAAAAAGCGGAGGTTAAAAAACCGGTTTAAGAATTTTTATTTTATTGTCAAATGTTTTTTTTTTTTTCATTTGAGTGATGAAATATGCGTCGCGCGTTAAGAAATATGAGTTCAAATATAATATAAAATATATTTAATTGAAAAATATACATCAAAAGCTGACTAATCACAATTAAACCAAATTAGAGATCATGTTAATAACTAAGAAGCCAAAAGAAGATCGCGCGCAAGGAACCCGCAAAGATTTAGTGTAATTAGAGCCAAAAAAACGTGCATTAAAATTAAATGAGTTAATTAAATTCGGCAAAGAGCTAAATGTAATGAGATTTTTTACAAGCGATCTTGGTTTCGAGACTCAAGATCAAAACAAAAGGAGTCTCATGTGAAAAAAATTAAGACGAGAAATTATGTTTACACCAAATGAGAACCAGTTTAAATTATTCTTTTTTCACCGGATGAATCATTTTAAAAGGTTTTACTTGATTTTTTTTTTACCAATCCGCAGATAATTTCAACTCAGCAAACTTAACGAGCATAAACGTTCGCATGAATACGATTTTTCATTTGGTGATAATCCAATATTTTTAATGTTTAACATAGAATATTGAAAAATATTGGCACATAACTTGTTTGATGTCTGGAATAAGTTTTTTTTATCATTTAAAAAATTTAACCTAAAATAATAATGTAATGACGACAAAAGTATTTTCCACAGCAAAAACAAATTAGATTTAAACAAATAAATTTCTAAGACGTGAAATTTTACAGTTTCCAAATCTATGGGCCGTGTGAATTCAGCTTAACACTGCCTCTACCCTATACCTAACTAAACCTGAAACCTGACAGTATGAGCTGCGTGATTTAGTTTTTTAAACTTATTTATAAATTTTGCTTATGTAAATTCCAAAGGTGATATAGAAAATATATAATTTAAATACTTATTTAACAAACTTGACCTAAACTCTTGTTCTCTGAGATTTAAAAGAGAGCATTCGATTTTTGAGAGCACAATATTGCTATGTGGGAGAGTTACCGATAGAAAAACTTCTTGAGAAGCTGACCGAAAGGGAATTGCTCGAAAAATCCAAGAACAAGAAGGTAATCCATCCATCCTACTAAATGGCTGTGAACGTGGAAAAGTGCACAAAAGGTGCCGACGAACTGCTTGGAGCTTATCAGTGTAGTTTCAATGCCATTGATCAGTATTGACAATGTGCCAATTCCTGGAAAGAATCCGTGCTAAAAGCTCGACACGTCGTAGATTTTAAAGCAGCCTTCGATAGCTACTTTTACGCCGCCATGTTGTCATTAGGTATCCTCGCGAAACTTATTTGGTTGTGTTGGTTGACGCTGAACAACACATCTGATGACATTGAGAAAATTTAGAGACTCGAGCTGCGTCACGTCGTCCGAACGAATGAAAGTACTCCAACTTTGGAAGATATCCGCTCATCTATAATTTCATAAACGGTGCCTTCCCCAATGAAGAAGAAGACGGAGTCTTTTTTATGCTGGAAAAAGTTCCGAAATCGACCATTTTGGATAAGTCATTTCGTACATTGGTCACGGTTGACGTCCCTTCCGGTACAAGTGTCAGGTTGGGCTGGTCGGTAAATTGAAAAGTCGCAGTAGACAATGGTAAACAGTGCGATTACCATGCGGAGTTATGTTTTTAAACTCCGGGCAAATCAACATCCAATATTGCAATAAAAAAAATTATAATTGCAACCGCTCCTTACGAGTGTATTTCTGACATGAACCCCGAAATCGAAAAGATGCTGGGCTGAAAATAGTTTATCGCAACATCCTTAAGATAGCTCAAAAGTTGTCCAGGTAAAGTTTTCCACTAACATATTTCATGCCATTTCCCACATAGAAGATCGTGAAGAGGAATTCGCAAACATAGCTGTCTAGCTACGCACGAACGGAAGAGCTCACTCAACCCCCGATATACAACTACTCCATTCAATAAGCTCACCAAGCTCAACCACTAATTATTGTTTGATTTACGGAAATTTTGAACATCAGTTTTGTCTAATGTCTCTAGTAAGACCCTGGAATTTCTACTAAATTATTTCCCTCTTTTGAAACAGAAAAATAATTGGCTTTAAAGTCTTGCTGTAAAATTAGTAAAATAAATTTCTAATTATTTCGGGAAGTAGCAAAAGGACCACACCGTATCCAGATGGATTTGCAAACTTACAGTAAATTGACTGCTAAGCTACAATAAGCCTAAAGAGACCAAGGAAATAAATAATAAGCAATACAGCGGAGTAACAACCGGCTGTTTTTACGATTACCTAAAAAAACTTAGATACTAGCCTGATAAACTTCATTTGTGTTTATGCACATATATGTATGTATATTAGTTGTTGCAAGTAAATTCATTGAAAACACTTTCAAATGCACATTGTCGTTTACCTAGATATTTTACAATGAGTAGCAGACATGCATGTGTATATGCATACTTACATAATATTAAATACATTACTACAATCATTAAAAATGAATGAAGTAAAGCTGTTTGAACTCTATGCGGAGGCAAATAAAATGCAGCTGCTCTATATATGTATGTACAATAACAGACAACCATTTATTTATTTATATTTATTTAAGTACGAATATTGTGTAAAGGTCATCTACAAAATCGTCTAATTTTAATTACAACCAAGCAATGATAACTATGCTTATCAATGTTAAATAGATTGTGTAACAGCGTAGAGTTATGTTAATGTCTAAGGTATGTTAAAATGAACAGCGCTGCAGAGTGCACTGCAAACAGCGAATGGCTTTAGTTACTGTATCTCGTGTACTATAAGTGCGATTGATTGTGTTACGCTAAACGATGTTATAAAGATGATATTTTGTGCTGATCATTTCACTCAGTAATGTTTCAGCGCAGGTCAAAGATGGTAGTGGTCCTGACACCGTAACAGTCAGGTTCGTCATAAAAAAACCATCAGCCGTTCGAAGGGGGCGGAGGAGTATAAACTGCAGGTCCCTCCATTTGTTGGAAAAACATCAAGAATATCAAATTGGAAGAAAACCGCTTCAGCGGTATATTTATATATTATTATGTTGCTATTATTGTAATTTTATTTTATTATATTAACATTTTTTGCTGCTAATGCACGCTGCTAGCAATAGGCTACTTACAGAGGAGAGATTTTTGATAATGCTGTAGCTTTTGCTTTGTTTTATTTAATTTTTCTTTCATCTTTTTAATTAAAAATCACGCATCGCATATTTCATATTCATATTCATAGTGATAACAGACATTTAGATTTGGAAGAGCTTCCCTAGATGCAAAATTTTCTTTTTCTCCTCATTGTTCTTCTAGCTGCAACAACGTATTCTGAAGGGGCACCCAACCCTTACGCACAATGTTCTGCCAAGCAGTGAACTGTCGAGATATCGGTAATTTTAAATATATCCTCTCTTTCCGTCCTAGTCGAATCATGTTTGCTTGGATTTGCGATTGCATATCTCCTCTATGTGTCTGTAAACAAGATCACATATAAAGCTGAGAATCTGTTGTGTTCCCCCATCTCCTAGAGTTCTTTTTGTCGAATAGTTGGCGCTAAAAAAAATATTTTTCTAGAATGTGTAAGGGTTTGTAAAATCTCCGTTTCTTGGCGGCTATTTCCAAGCGGAAATACTAGATACGGAAAAGTCCTGTAGAACTGTAATGTATAAAATTATGATACAAAATCGACGTCTTTATAACTTCGAATCCGAGGCCGAGATAACATCATTTTCTCTGTGAGTGCTCATCTCCCTCAAAATTCTACACTCACTCATGAGGTAAGGATTTGTGGGACTTAAGAATTACCTGCGGAGCATGATGTATAAAACTGAGAAAAGGTAACATACATTCATGCATTTTATCTATAAATATCGATTATAGTTAATGTCTTATTTCAATGAAAATTAGCAAATACAGAAATATGATATTCCTAAAGGCATACATACGAATACACATAGCTTCTTATGTATCAGATTTACATTTTATTAATTTTATATACGAAAGGACATTTGCTAATACCACTCTACTAGAGGAAACCTTATCATTACTCACACACACTCGTTGAATATATGAAAAAAATATGTTTATAAAAATGTCAAAAACACAAATGATGTCAGACATCAATTATGTCATGGCAACCAACGTTAGCCGTATTATATTACAACGAAAATAGCATACTCCAAGTACCAGCGTCGTCTTTCATAGCTTTAATAACTCGGGTTATTGATATCTTTTATTCTAAACAAAAAATAAGACAGACTTTTACAATTCTCACACGACCAACTCACGTTCCACAACCCTTCCTCCAGTCCTTCTCTATCACTTGCTCACTTTCCTCACGAGACATTTAGCATATTGATAATGAAGCCAAGTTGAATATCATCTGCATTGGCCATCGAGTGGCAGACGAGCCAGTTGAAAGTGGTATTACCAAACCACCCCACTTAGCGCCGCCGCACTACCACCCCAGTGGATGGCTTTCAGTTGGCGCCATAGGCCAACTAATTCTACTCGCATTGCGCTATATACATATGTACGTGTATGTAGTAATATTGAGCTTTTTTGTTTACAAAATAACAAATCATTTTCCAAGTAACACTCACGCATTCGCCTGCCCGCTTGCTCGCTTCCTTGCTTTGTTTCTTTGTCTTATTGTGGCTGCGTGATTTTGTACAGCTTTATCTGCGAAACCTCCCTTCTTCCTTACCCCAAATTTACTCTTAGTTTATGAGTGAAAAAAGGCTTTCAACCCCTGTAGTGTACGAGTAAGATGCAGCCACCGGCGTATTTTAGGTGAATGCACTGTTATATGATTTTTTCTATACCATTTTTTTTTTTTTTTTTTGTTAATCTTTGTATACGTGTATCTTCTTATGATTCTCTCATGTTGTTGTGCGTTACGTTCATTTCATGGCTGTACCTTAACAAAATGCTTCATGGAATTGGGCCTCCGAACTTAGTAGCATTTCCTGATGCTAGTAAATAGGGAAATTACTTGCACGTGTTTGAAGTGAAAGAAAAAATCTGAAGAAAATCTGGCATATAAATATTAATTTTTCCGCTTGTTATTATCTGAACATACGCCGTGCCTCGATGCTAAATCGGCTGCTTCAGGGGGAAAGTTTGGATGGATTTTTTCGACGATCACACGGAATATAAATGGCGGGTACTAGGAGCTGCAGTATAACGCCACAAGGAAGGTAGGACTGGATGTGGGACCCTCTGCGAGTTAGGGTTTCAAGAATTTAGCCGCGGTAAGGCATGCCTGTCATAAGAGACTATTAAAATCCAATAGTTACCGCGAGAGTCGGGTATTTATACCGGAACGACCCGGATTTTTATCCGGCCAAGCCCTGTCACTCCCGCAACATTCCCCAAAACGTACTTTTTGGGAATATTTTTGCGGTTGCAACAAAAACATCTGGAAGTAGAAGGGAAAGGGAAAGAGAGATTGGGAGTCATGCTGCGAGTGTATAATGGTGTTGGAGGCACAGCTGTATTGACTTG